CAGATTTCAACAGATAGAGAGATCATTTAATTCCATTTTTTTGTTTGTTTCATTCTATCCTTCGATCGGTACACTTGGATGCTCTCATCCCGATCGAATCTTCATAGTTTTTGTCACGTAGAATATAGTCTGAAGCTTTTCACTAGACAAAGTATAGTTTCTCCATTCTTTTTTTGTTTTTCTACAATTCTTTCTTATACAAGCTGTTCATCGTAAAGAATATTTGCGACAATAAATACACTCTTTTACGATGAACACTCTTATTATTAGGTCATCCTGAAAGTTCCCGCGGTTTTAAGTCGTTAATTTTGAAAAAAACACATGTCCGTTTCTATTTAAAAGAATTTCCACAGCGTTCGATACACTTTTGCCAATGTATTACAAGAGCGTTAATTCTCCGTACATAAAAATCCGAATCTCTATGGGAAAGAAACTGCTGAAGGGTGTTTTCAATATCCTGCTTCCTAAATCGTTTTTGCGTAAGGAAATTATCAAGTGAGCGGAAAATGTGAAAATCGATTGGAGATAAATCAGGGGAATATGGAGGATGAGGCAGAACTTCGATAACAAGTTGATGCAATTTTTGTACAGTTGTGCTTGCTGTGTACCGTCTGGCGTTGTCGTGCAAAAGGGTAGGGCCTTTTCTGTTCACCAGGGCTGATTGCTTATCTTTGGTTTTTGGTGGACGACCTCCAATTCGTTACTGCATAACTCTGCAATGATAGTGATACCCGGTTTTTAGGAAGCTATAGTGAATTAATCCCGAAGTAGACTATCAAACTGTGAGCATATTTTTCCGGTGTAAACTGGGCTTGGATCTAGAGAATTTGGCCTTCTTTCTCATAGAGATTTGGATTTTTATACACGCGGAATCAACCGGGTCAAATATGACCCAATGCTAAAATCTTATTTGTACGCAAGTGGAACCACGTTTCTTCACTTTGCCAGGCATTGTATTGCATTATTTATACTATAATAACAGGAGAGTCGTGACTCTGTTTCAAATTCCGGTTGAAACAAGAGACGTCTAAAACCTGGGTCAGCGATGACCCGCCATTCGAAGGTCAATGCTCTTCTAACACGTTGTCAAAAGTGTATCAAACATTACGGAAATTATTATAAATAAAAATGTTCAATTTCAACGTAGTCACGTTTCTTCAAAACGTACGATTTAAAACCGTGGGATCATTCAGGATGACCTAATAGAAGCTTTCAGTTTCGTAGATCGATCAGCTTGATCCTCTGTAGGCGATGACTTTCGACCAACAATGCCCATTGAAACGCACATTGGTTCTCTGTTTCGTAACCAGCGACTGACCACTGAAATTAATAAACATTCACGAGAAACGTGTCTAGGGGTGGAAACAAAAAAAAAAAAAAAAAATAGCTCGATGACCGTTTCCACGGTTATCGAAGCGGTTCTCCCTCGCGGGCGCGTGCATTATCAGGCGATCTGGTCTGTCTGGTGATCGCGAGACGGCGGCGCCCGTTACAGGAGAAAAACGCGTGATTAACCCTCGACTGGTAGGGCTGAGCCTTCGTAGTAATTGGTAGGGTGGGATGATCAATTCAACGAAAAGAGGAGGAGAAAAAAAAAAGAAAAAAAATAGCAGCTGCGCGATACAGGCTGAGTCACGCGACGGAGACAAGTCGTGCATATCTCTGCTTCGGTTGTCGTCGATGGAAAATGGCGATAGAGAAATGATAGAAGAGAAGCTTCGATGGAGTTTTGAAACATTTGTTTTCCTTCCGTGTACTTGTTCATTGTTCATGAATAGAGAATTATTTTCGAATATTCGAATTTAAATGGTTGCGACTTGCCCTGGCCGCATGATTCGTATTGTCTCACTATTTTATCTCACCGAACGTCGTGTGACTACTCGCACTAACACTGGATTAACTACCCGAGAATATGGACGATTGTTTCACTAAAAAACAACAACAACAACAACACATACACGTATATACACACATATACACACACACGAATTCAATTTATTTGTACTCTATCTGTCTCTCTCTCTCTTTCTCTCTATCTCTTTCTGTCTGTGACAAAGATTAACGCGCATTCATGTTTCAGTTTAGAGTAAGACACTTTTGGATGAACAAGTTGTTGTCCTAACCCCGCCCTGCCAGTCGATGGTTAACACTTAACAAATAACCACGCGAAGATCGAAGGAATAACATTTACGAGGGCGGAACATTATTTCGTAGCTTTTAGCCTCGTTACGTGTTAACTTGTAGAGCCCATGTCTCGAAGGGGTAGCTTTGCTGAAGAAGGGCCAAAAATATTCTCACATAAACGGTGCACCGTTGAGAATTTTTTTTACTTTTTCTTTATCGAATATTCGGATGGCTAGTCAGTTCTTGGACAGTGTTATTTTCAAATTAAACGTGGTAGAGCAGTCTCGTTTGTATTGAAATTAAGAATACTTGGAATTCAGGGTGCACCAACCTGAAAATAGGTACAGTTTGAGAATTTTTTTCGTTGCTAATTATTAAATGAAAAGTTTCAATTTTTTCAGAGGATTTAAAGGTAACTTTCAGCTTTTCTCTCCAATTTTTGAGAAGTAAAAATGATACAAAATGGAGGAGTTACTCGCTAATTGCGAGACTTTTTCGGCTGGAATATCGATTGCTGGCCGCCATAGATTGGAATATTTGAAAAAATTTTTTTTCAATAAATAAAAATGTATTATCCACGGTGCAGCGTAGAATTTTTCAAAAATTGTAATTATTACAGAAATGGTGGCAGTTCGAAAAGGAGAAACCTCTTGTTACCAAAAAAATCTACTTCAAACGTTTCTAAAAAATGAAATAATTGCCATATCGACAAAATCCTACGCTGCATTGTAGGCAATACATTTTTTTTTTTTTTTGCCAGCAGAAGAGTTTTCGCAATGACTCTTCCATTTTGCAACATTTTCACTTTCAAAAAATTTCAAAGTTGAAAAGCTGAAAGTTACATTTACATCCTGAGAAAAAATTGAAACTTTTCGTTTGGTAGTTACTTATGAAAAAAATTCCCAAACGTTTACCTATTTTTAAAAGTCTCAGGATGGTGACTACCCCTTTAATGATCATTCATCTTCTTCTTCTTCTTTTTTTTTTTTATTTAATTATCCGAGTCTGCAGCGCTTCTACAGGAGAATCTCAACAGGCAATCGCGAAGGAATCAAGGTTCGAAATGAAGATTGAGATCTGCAATCGCAGTAACTTCCAATAGAAGCTTCGATTAGTCCAAGAACATGCCTAGCTGTCCCGTTAATTTCGATTTTTCCGAGAAAACAAAGGCGGGCATCCGTAGATTGAGCCTGTCGTTACACCGCGGCTTCCGGTTCCCTTCGAGCATATATCAGCCCGAAATCGGAGTACATAACCGTGTCTCGCGGTTAATCGAATCGTGTCGAACGAACACACCGCGATATACTCTATGAGGAAAATAAATTCCTCGGGACTTTGGGCAACCTCTCGTTTCTCCTCGATGTTATTCGAGCCTCGACGATCGATCGAGCGTGTGAAAAGCCGCCGGAAAATCCAGCCTATGATCCCGTTTCTGCTCTTGAACGGCTCTGGAGTAGCTGGAAATTGCTTTGCGGAAGGAAAATCCGTCTCGTTTTCTCGATACTCGATATATCCAAGGTATTTGAGAAATATCTAAATCGCCGCGATACTATGAAAATTTCGCAGAATCGAAGTTACTGCTAGCTCAAGCTCGAGATTTAGCACTTGAAAATTTTTTTTCTTTTTTTTTTTTTAGATTTGAAGTGTGTACTGTCAGTGAAGAGTTAAATATTTATGAAATTTCGGAGAATTGAAGTTACTACAGGTCTCATGCTCGAAATTTATCATTTTCTAGAAATATGAATATTCAGAATGGTATGAATAATATGAATTCAGATTTGAAGTGTTAAATTTTGGAAGAAATTAAAAGGTAGCCTTTTATATTTTAATTTTCAACAAAATATTATTTTACACGCTTCGAATTATAAAGCAGTGATTAAAAATTAGAATTCGCTCGATTTCGAGATACAAAGTTGAACGAAGAGCCGCGAGAGACGGAGGCTCGTATGGATGAAAACGAGACCGATCTCCGGCAATTTCTCTATTAAAGCCAGACTCCATGGCCGGGCAGCATTGAAAAAAGAAAAGAGAAAATAGAAAGCGGGAACAGACGGAGGAGACTGGGTTGATTTGTGCCCAGTGGTCGTTCCCGAAGTTCTGTGTTTATCTTGGTACGGTCCCCGGGAAGTTTTCTCGTAGCTCTTGAAGCGATATTTCCCGTCGTATGCCTCTGTCCACAATTTCATTCGACTGGCCTGGCTGCTCGAGGAGAGACGTGAGCAGCCTGATCGCTCGTGAACGAGACGCTGCGAGTTGTGTGCCGCGTTATTTTCATATTTGAACAAACCTAATATGACTGGAACAAAAAAAAAAGAAGAAAAATTAACCGTCTAATGAAAGTAGAAATAATCTGAAAGGGAAGAAGTGATCACGAAACTAGCGAGAGTATGAATTTTCCATGGGGGAAAATCTGATTCTAAATGATTCGTCACAACTCGCATTTGTGCAGAAAATTTGTCGTCGACACGATTCGATGAGCACAAGGGTGTACCACGTAAAATTACGTTCTTGTTACACGAGGACTGGAGTAATTGTTGGAGTGTTTTTGATTCTAGGGTGCTCACCATCAGCTCGGATCTGTCCACTGTTCTCCAGGTGTTGAACGAGGTCGTACCTAATCTCGAGGAGGTGAGTGTTGCTACCAGAAGAGGATCACACGGGAAAAGAAATGACTCAATCGTGAGACTTTTCACATGTTTTTTCTTAATTTAGTAGACCTGCTAAGCCAGTGTAGTTTATAGTTCAGTAGCTGTTAACATCTTGCTCGACAGATCTAACTTCACTTCCAATTTCACGATCATTTTTTTCCAAATTTCTATAACACAAACCAGGTGTTAACTAATTGTACGTCATAGAGCAATGTACGTGTACAGAGTGTGTCGTAAAAAAAAAAAAGGGAAGAAACATATTTAAACAATACAAAAAATATAAAAATTGTAATTGATCATATGAAGCACCCTGTACACCCTATATATACACTACGTAGCTAAAGAACCGGCATATTAGCAGCTAGTCTATATTAGTAGACGTGGTGACATTAGTTCAGAGTCCAATGCAACGTGTAATCTTCTCACGAGACAACTCTAAACGTGTCACCGTGCGTTCTACCAATAAGAAAAAAGATAACTTAGCATACGCTTGTATAGTACCAAGCTAGAGAGCCTCTTAGAACAGTCGTAGCGCTTCCCACAAGTGTAGACTACGATATTTGGTGAACGAGAAAATTATAATGACCAGATGTGTCGGGAATAATTTCAGAACGGATCGAGACATGGCAGCGACGAGATCGATGTTCGTATGCTGGTGCATCAGAGCCAGGCTGGGTGCATCATTGGCAAAGGAGGGCTAAAGATCAAGGAGCTGCGCGAGGTGAGTCATAAAACTGTTGTGTGATGCCATTAGTGCTAGATCATCGATTTTACAATTGTCACGTTCGACTTCGTGCCAAGGCCTGCGCGGTATGACGAATTTAGTCGTCCTCGAGTGGCACGTTTGCGGTCCTCTTATTAATTCTCATTTCCGTTTCCGTTATTTTTCGACTGACTACTTCGTTTGGTATTCGCTCGATTCCGCGTCGATGCTCGGGAGGATTGTGTCGCTTTAGAGCAGCGATTTTTAACCTTTTCCTTTTTTATCTCGTGGCACGGATAAAGTAGTTACTGAAATTCTGCGGCACGCCGAAAATATATTATACTTTTTCGCCGATCTGACAAAAAAGTATACACTTTTTACTGATTTAATTAGATTGATTTTATCGGCAAAAATTTTAACTTTTTCAATTTGTGTTCAAAGATTTTGGACACACCTGCGGTGTATTCGAATTAAGTGAAGAATTGATTGCTGTAAAAAATATCTGCGAAAGTATCTCTTTTCAAGTTATGTTTCTTAAATAGCACCAAATATTTTTCTTTTCATATTCGGAAACTGCGTGAAAAAGCCAATTCGGTAAAAAGAGAATGTATTGTTTCAGTTATCTGATCCCAAAATAATTCGATTTATTTGTGAAGTAGATACACAACATCGACGCGCCGAACTCAGCTACAAACGTTAATAAAGACACGCATCAGATAATAGAAATGAAGGAAAACTGAGTGTTACGTAGGATGTAGATGTAATCAGTAATCACAGGAAATTTTCAATCTGCATTCCACCTTCCGCAGCACAAAGTTCCGCTCTTTCCGATAAATTCCGATGTGCAGCTTCAATCGAAGTATGATTCTACAGGTCTGTGTTATGCGTTCTTTAAGATTATCAGTACTATCGACAAGTGTCGCGTAAACAATCGACTGCAAATACCTCTAGAGATAAAATTCTGAAGGGTTTACGTCCGTAGACCAAGCTGGCCAGCGAATTCGACCATATCTACAGATCCACCCATCTTCAAAGACGATATTTAAATACGAAACGGTATTTACAGAATTAATTTTTTCATATAGTTTCCGAATACGAAAAGAAAAATATATGATGCTATTTAAAAGAACACAAATTGACACGAATTTTTTTTATGGAAGAAAGACGCTTTCAAGGATTTCTTTTGCACCAATAAACTCTTCACTTAATACCAATGAACTTTGGTTTGAAACATTTTTTTTTTTTCGTTAATGCATCAGAATCAGATAAAATATCGCGGCAACTGATTTACGCCGCACTCCCTATAAATGAGTTTTAACTGATTTTTTATTTTTACGGTTGAAGAAATTATAACGTTTGAAGAAGTTTGTGTGTAGATGATAATGTAGATTTGATTGGAAAGATAAGATCGGAATTTTCGTGTGATGTAATTGATGAACTGGTATTACGAGGATGATAGACGAGGCTGAAGTGTTGCTGCTCCACTTGGAAAAAGTAGGTCTCCTAAATGGATTAGAATTGAAATGGCCGGCATTAAATCGTTAGCCGGGCGACCGATTCCTCGCCTCAATTCGAATAGTCCGTTGCACAAGCGCAACACTAAGAAATCTGGAATTCAACCGTCCACCGTGGATAATGAGGAAATTATTCAGCGTTTCCTGTCGTTTTCCTCCTTCTTACGTCGACGCAAGGCCGCCTGCGCTCGAGGGAAATAAAGAAGTCACGTATTTCGGTGGATGTTCTTCAGCTGATTCGATTAACCTCCCTCTGTTGCCTTGGAAAAATTAGGTGAACGAAAATTTACAAATTCGTACATCAACGTTCGCGTCGAATTATAAATAGACTTTCAAACGATTTTTATTTAATTCTCCCGAAGAAAT